AAGAAAATTATGCATGGTAATAATTGCAGAACATTATGATGTATATGTATGTAAAAAAAAAAAATAAATAAATAAAATTTTACGTGTCACCAAATTAATTCGGTACATGTGATAAATTATTATGCTTGAAAAAAATTACAACATTCTCTGAACTTTTAAGAATTAAGCTTTCGTACTGATAATGTGTTGTGAAAAAAGAAAAAAAAGAATAGAGCAGAGAGAAGTTAATAGATTTGTGTGTATTTTATTAAGAATCAAAGCATTGTATTTATAGGACAAAATTAGGGATACAACGATAATTATTTTTAGGGTTGTAGGGGTATAATTATCATTTACCTCTAAACCCTAATAAACTTACCTTTTACAATAATTAAAATAGTTGAAAATATAATTTTTTTCTTATATTTTTTCTAATATATCCACACATTAAATAATGAGCAGTGTTATTTTGCCTCCATTGGAGTTATAATCATAATCTATGTGGTATTAATTGATAGGTTAAATGGAATGTGAAATTAAATTACTCATTTAATTTTACTTATTATTTAATGTCACATTAGCGCCACACATAAATTGTGGTTATAACTCCAATGGAATTAAATAGTTTTACTTTTAAATAATGTTTTAAATATTATTAATTTATATCTGTTGATAACAAGATACATTGTATATGAGCATATTAGAAAATTCAAAAATATCTATATGCCCCCAATTTGATTTTTATTTTTGGGATAAAATGCATTATGAATAGTGATTTCTTGAAGAATTTGTGGTTAAAAAGTAAGAAAAAATTTTTAAAATATGTGTATAATTATTTTATAGAAGACTGTGTGGTTGAAAATGAATTTTGAAAAAATAAGACTCAAACAAGGGTATAATAAGTAAAGTGACATATAATTTAGAACAAACGAAAAGGAAGCCAAGCATATCTTTACAGGACGGAGGTAATATTTTTTAATGTATAAATATACAATTATGACTTTTACAGTTTTTTATAATCTTTTTTTTAAATAATGAATTTTAGTGAAAATCGTGGACTTTTATAGATTTGTATTAAATTAATTAAAGTATTTTCTTGATTTCTATATATTTTCATTTTGAAATTTTTATAGAATTTTCTTCTTTTGAAAACTTTCGTTTGTTTAAAATAGAATTTACTTTTTTTTAGGTAGCATGAGAATTCATTTCAAAATTGATTGAGCTTAAACAAAACTTTCTTTAACCTTGTCAAGTCATTAGATGATCAACATAATTAAAGCAAAAATATAAAATAGAAATAGAAGCTTAGTATACTAATTAACAATGATTTACACATTTTTGAAAAAAAAAAAAAAAATTAACTCAGATGGCAAATTCATTTTGAACGATAAAAGATACTGGCATCTCCAGTTTACTTCTCTGATGAGTTTGGTCCCCTCTTCTTTCCAAAGCCATCAATGGCGATGACGAAGCGGTGGTTGTATTGCATCCGCTCGTGAGCACGGCTACGAGGCTTCTTCTTCTTGTCCTGCTTGGCCACCTTTGGTGTTTGTCCTCTCACTTTACCGACACGTGCCAGTGATCCGTGAAACTTACACATGGATGATTTCTGTGAGTAGAAATTTAGAGAGATGCAACTGCTGGAGCGAAATATGGAATTTACTTAATTTTAACGAAACATCAAAAAATTCACACAAAGAAGGTTAAAGGTTTAGTCGCCCACCCTTTCCCTTCTCATGTATTAAAAAATATTTTTCAAAAAATAAGAAATCGAGTCACTTTAATTATATAAATAAATAATCAAAATTCAAAAAATAAACCAATGTATGATTTATAAAAAAATCAACTCGTTTGCCCAAGCAATTGGTCATCATTCCTGGCCGGCAGGTGCTTATTTTCTTCCATTTTTGTGAAGCCTATAAACCAGTTGGGCATTGGAAGAGGAAAAAAGGTAGAAGCTCTGTCCTATAGCCTTTGTTTGGTTTTGTGTAGCTAAAAATTATATTTTTGGTAGATTTTAATAAATGTTAATAAAATGTATGGTTTAAAAGTTGTCGATCCCATAAAATATGTAATTAAAATTAATTGTTGACCCTAGCTTACATTTTTATCAAGAATTTAATCCAAATTGGGACATAATATTTCATTAGTAATTGATGAAAAAATAAAGAAATATCTACTATACAGCATTGTTAAAGTCGAGGAAGCTCACTCCAAAGATCTTCTAAATGGTGTTTTTGGGCTCAGTTTCACATTATATTTCTTGACCAAACAACCAATCCAAACGATTCCAACTCACAACTAATATATTCACCTCGATTGCTTCTCAATCTCACCAATAAGAGACAAGTTAACAGTGATGATTTGCAACTCATAAAAGCATGGAAAAAACAACGGAAGAAAGGAAGAGAAAAAAATCAAAATACAAAGATGAAGTCCCAATTTTTCTCTCAACAAGAGACAGCCGACTTTTACTGCAAGAAGGGAACCACGTTTTTTCTACTTTCATACGTAAATCACATGTACACGATGACTATATATATGTGTGTGTGTGTGTGTGTGTGTGTGGCTTTAGTTAGATCAATAAAAAGTTTAAATGGGTCAAGATTCAAAGCCATCGATTAAGTAAATATATATTGACCGTGAGTAG